GAACCGCCGCCGCGCTGCTGGCCCTCTCAGTCGCGACGCGCTCGTCACGGGGTGCAGATCGTGCACTGTTTGTCATACTGACACCCTTCGTCGCGCGGAGCACGCGCTTTTCACGCGGCCGTTCGCGCCGTAACCGTCGTGCGGCATTTTTCGCGATTTCGTACATTCGTACCCGTACATCCGTAACGCGCGATTTCGTCACCAAAGCCGTAAACGTCGTCGTCGTTGATCTTGTCGCGTTTTGAAGTGGTTGGTAGTGGGTGGTTGATGGTGAAATTTGGATTTCTCTCTCGGACAAAACTGACAAACGTTTCAAGTGATAGACTTTTCGATGAATTAGGTGATAGTAGATAAAAACACTGGAGAGAGAAAGAGATAGGGTGAAAGCATAAGGATAAAGTGTGTATACCGCGTGGTGCGTCAGAAGCGCAACCCCTGACTGTTCGCAATCCTCTCGGGAATTTCCCGTCGTGATGTTTCGTTGGGGAAGACAAGGTGGACTTTAACTCTTTTCAATAGTAGTGAAGTAGAAAATACTCGGAGAGTACGTTATTTAAAGGCACGCGTGTGTTTCGGAGGTAGGCTCAAAGATGCGGCCGCGACATCCCAACGGGACAATGACGCTCGTGTCGGTTTGTGTCTGACAGATCCGCGCACGTTGCCACGAGGCGCGCGGATAAAGCTCTCACTTCCCGCATTACTTTGCGCGGACATCTGGAGGTTCGTGTGTGGATGTGCATATGTGTGTTGCAGATGCGGCCTTGTAGCTGATCCGATCAGGACAAACGTTGTCGATAACAAAAAAACCCGCACCACGAGGAGAGCATATAGACGAAGAGAAGAGAGAAGGCAAGGTTTTTGGAGACGAGAAAACGTAGCAGAAAACGCGTGGCGCAACAAAACAGAACAAGACACTCGTTGAGAAATAAAAGACAAGTAGAAGCCGAATCATCGACCAATCATGACGCAGCAAAGTGGCGCTGGGTCACCCCAGCAGTTCTGTCTGCGCTGGAACAATTATCAGACCAACCTGACCAATGTCTTCGATCAGCTTCTGCAGAACGAAAACTTTGTGGATGTGACTCTGGCCTGCGATGGACACAGCGTCAAGGCTCACAAAATGGTTTTGTCGGCCTGCAGCCCGTACTTCCAGGCGCTCTTTTGCGAAAATCCCTGTCAGCACCCGATTGTCATCATGAAGGACATCAAGTGGCCAGAGCTCAAGGCCGCTGTTGAGTTCATGTACAAGGGCGAGATCAACGTCTCCCAGGAGCAAATCGGGCCGCTGCTCAAGGTCGCCGAGAGTCTCAAGATCCGTGGTCTGGCAGACGTTAACAGTGAACACGAGTTGACGTCTAGGCCAAATCTCGAGGAGGCTGCAACCAGGAAGAAGCGCCGCCGGATGTCCGGCGAGCGATCGCCGTCCAGTTCTCATAGTCCAGAACGTGTCGGTTCCGGTAGCATCGGTCCCGACGATCAGGATGTGCTTGGTGGCAACGTTGTCGTACCCGAGATCCACAATATGATGCCGCCGACATCCAGCTCGACACCGAGGTCCCTAGGCTCACCCAGCACGCCCACCATCTCCGTCACACCACAGATCAACCTGCAGGAGCTTCCGGTCTCGCTGCCCCTACCGCCACCCCCGCCGCCACCGCCGCAGGGACAGCAGAGCTCGCACTCCCTGCCGACCCACCACGTGCCCGGCCACGTGACTTCCGGTCCGCACGCGCCTGTCAACCACCTAGGTGGCCATGGCCAGCAACTCAGCGTGCAGCAGCAACAACAGCAGCAGCAGCAACAACAACAGCAACAACAGCAACAGCATCATCAGCAAGGCGTCGGTAGTCAGTCTGGTGCCGGTGAAGACCTTGAGATCAAACCCGGTATCGCGGAGATGATTCGGGAGGAGGAAAGGGTGAGTGTCAAATTTTTTATCTCTCTTCAATCGTTTTAACTCTTGTTGTGTCAAAAGTTCGCGACTCAAAAATCTACACGTTCAGGTCAATTTCCCCGATGATGACGATACGATTTTGCGAAAGTTTCCAAAAAATGTTTTAGAAATGTGTGTTTACTCGGTAGGAAAAAACAACTGATGTCGATGTAATGTACGAAAAACATTTCAATTTCGTAAAAGCGGAAAACCAACTTTTCGTGTATTTTGCAAGAAAATTAAGTTGAATTTGAGATAAACGTTATTACCGGATTCTTTATTTCGAAGCTTTTTCTCAGCTCAGCTGCTATCATTACCACCGAGTTTATGTCCGAGAATCATCGCTGAATGAACAAGAATGAACAAGACTTCTTTCTGTTTTCTACGATTAACTTTTTTCTCCGGACGAACATTTGTCTTTGCACGCGTCAGTGCCGATATGTAATTTTCGATGCAAATTGTAGAATGCAAAGTCCGTAATTACATGGAGTGTTGTAATTAGAAGATTTTTATGTTCGTGATAACGCCAAACCGCTCAGATGCGTATTCCGATACCGGTGAATGTAGTTTTCCTGTTTTTGTGTTGGAAGAATATTACTTCTCATCTTGCCAAAGATAAATTAGTAGAAATAAAATACAGGAAGAATATAAAAACGTTAGCATTACATTTGTTATTTGCAACAAGAAAAAAAACTGACTTCCGTCAAAAGTAACGTTAGATACAGGGACGATACAAGAAACGTATAAAAAATTGATATAATATTACAATATAGAGGTATATCGCGCACGATTTGTGACGTGCATTTGTTGCGTCGTGGTTAAAACAAATCGATTAATGTAGTATAAATAAAAAATTTAAATAAAAAAGTTATGAATATGTGCCCTATAAAATATATATTAGAAATTTATTTAAAAAAAAATGTATTTTGTGCATATATATATATATATATATATATATATATATGTATATATATGTATATTCGTGATAAATTAGATGCGACTAGAGATCTTCTAATTTAAATTATGGCACGTTACCAAGCGGCACATTATAAGCCTAATTTAATCGGCGATGCATTAAATATATAAATGAGCAAATAAATTTCTGCGTACCGCGATTAATGTATTTTCCCGTACGTGTGTTCGACGTACACGTTTTTTTTCAGTATTGTATAATAAATACAAGGAAAAGAGAGGCGTATCAATATTTGCTCACCGTTTATAGAAATAATTTGAGAGAGTCAATTAAAAGTTTTCTCGGTTGCGAATTGAAATAAGAAACAGCGGCGTTTCTCTCCCGCGGGTGATAGCGAAAACTTCCCGATCGAAAGTTCGGCGCTTCAGGGTTGGTTCTCCGAAATTGCGCGCACCCAATTTCCCTCTCTCCCCCTCCCCTCCCGCCGACAGATGAAGACGTTTTCCGAAAGCAGACGGTCGGTCCGAGAGCAAGCACGGTCATTAACGAGATCGCAATGTGGTTCGCGTTCCGCGCGTACCTCACGTCATTAGGGCACGCGTGCGTTCTAGTCAAGGCAAACGGCCGGCGATTCTCTCGAGGAAGGCTCTCTGTGTCTACACAGCGGTATAATTGGCCGCTCTTTCGACGCTGGCACGGAAAAGTCGCGGACTCGAGTCGAGTGGTATAGCAGCCGCCAATTATACAAGCGCGCGGGACGAGTTTTCGCGCCGAAACCGTTCGCGTCTGACGCGATCGCGCGCGGAGCGAGAACCGAGAACGGCTGCAGATACGCGGGGGAGAGAAAGAGAGTCCCGCGCGCGCTTTTCCACACGAAGGGAGGGAGGGTCCATCCCAATTACCCGGCGATTGGCTTCGACGGTATGCGCTAATTGAGAGTATCAATGAACGTCAATGAGCGCAGTCAATATTTGGCCGGGGTGCATCCGGCCGAGCGTTTTGTAACGTTCTTTTTGTTAAAGCGGATGACAAATATTGACCGCGCTCGTTCGCGCGCGCGTACGTGACACAAACACACGGCCGCGTTTACACGCACAGTCACCACCAACATACGCGTACACGTACACGTCCGCTCCGCCTGCACACACACGCCTGCACACACACGTACACACACACACACACGCACACACCTGGGGTATCGACTGTTCTCGTTAATTACATCGGGACGACGGTGTCTCCTGCATTATTTATCGTCCGTTACCGGCGCAAGTTATTAAGCGTGCGGCTAGTTACAAGCCGTTTTGTAACTAGCACGACGACCGTCGGACATCGGAGGCAGCCCGCGCGACTTGGGCCGGGACAGGCTAAAGGTCTGCTTAACAAAACGCTCTTTTCCCGCTTTCGAAAACAGCAAGCGCAGTTTCTTGCGCGATAATAAATGTATAATTGTGTGCACGTCGCTTGTTTGTATATATTCGCAATAAGTGTGTGCGGAAACTTCATTACATGTATAGCGGGTAACATAGATTTATAATAATCACACATATACACACATATACATTACACTACTTGTCAAGATTATAATCTGGATTGCACAATCAGAATTGCACAATCAGAGTTAATATACATTCTAATGCATTATTCAAGATTTACTTTATACAGATGTGATATATATACAATACACATAACAATCTGCACCGCTGTCAACCGCATTTCTATATTACTTACGTAACGCAATCTGAGACACAGTAATATAACAGCAATATAACAAATTGCTTAATACTTCTGTAAGTTTATATATGAAATACACACACACACACGTATGTTTCCACACACGAGCGATAATACGCTTAATAATTATCCCAATGTGCTGAACGTGTGTGCGATCGATTTGCGTGTGTTTGTCCGTGTGTTGAATTGATGTAAAAAAAAAAAAAAAAAAAAAAACCGCGTGGAAAAAAATGTTTGACGTGAACAAAAAAATTGGCGACGCGCAAAACACCGCTGAAAATTTTCGCGTTCGGATCGGACGTACTGAAGGAGCTGACGTGCGTGCGCGCGAGGACGATTTCCCGCGACGTTTACGCGCGAAAAAGCTCGGAGCAGAACTGACTACGGCGCGTCAGCCGGAGTTCAATCTAGGAAATTAAAGTGAGCGACCGAGCGACTCGCGACCGACATTATTTTTCTCTTTCTCTCGCACGTCGCCGGTCCTGCCGCCGCGCGTCGTGACGTAATCCGTTCTAACGTATACATATAATGGTTATAACATTCCGCGGAATTCCATTATGTTAACGCAACCACGTTCCAATTCTCCGGGCATGCCTGCGCCTGCCGCTAGTGCGCGCGTATCGTAAATGCGCGCCGTTGTAGTATCGCAACTATTCCGCGATGCCTTTTCCGATTAAAATACCTAATTGATGCGGGCAAAGCCAATGGCAGAAGGGAGAGAGAGGGGGTTCATGGAATGCCAAGCCACACGAGGCGGCGAGTGTTATATAGAGTGTTATATAGAGTCGACATTTTTCTTACGGTTTGAATGAGTCTCTCTTCTTTGAGGGGATATAATTACACGTGGAAATAAAATTATGTGGAACACGGTTATAAAAATTGTGTCATAAACATGAGATAGAATGCATCGATAGTCTACAAAGAGAGAAGAATTTATAAAGAGAAAGCGATGTTTTTCATTTATGCAGACCGTGTATTAGTATTAACGTGAAAGTTCTAGGACTAATTTATTCAAAGTAAAGAGAAACGTGCAAAGTCGAAAGTCACGAGAGAAATAATGCAATAAAAATGAAAAAAAAAAAAGAAAAATAATTAAAAAATAATTAATAATTCACACACACACAGCGGATGTTTGCCGTTACTTCAATTTTAAAAAGTGATACTATCTATTTACATAAAAAATGGCAAAGCAACGCATTTGATTTTCGTATTGAGAGTCGGTCTCGCGCGATAGCAAGCCCTATCTCTCAAAGTTTCTACAGTCTTCAAAATAAGACACTTCCCCTGAAGTTCAGAGTTCATTATACAGATATATACAACCAGTCCTCCAAAATTATCATGTAAGAAATTTATCATGTCTGAATTTCTGTTGATATGTTATTCGTTTTTTTTTTTTTTTTTGTGATTTATTCCATATCAAAGAACATGTTGACGAAAACTACGCACTTCTTCTTCTTTCTCTCTCTCTATCTATCCCTTACCCGCTCTGAATCTACGTATTGGGCAAGAAATAACTCATTATCACAACTGGTATTTTTGGTGGATAATTTTCGATGTTTTATTGGACACGTATAGATTATAACGATTATAACATAACGAAATAGCGCTCCTTGCCTTTCCCAAGTAGCGATCAAACCTTCCGAGAGAGCACATCTCGTCGGAAATTAGGGAGTCAACGGGGAGCGTTCTGAGTTATGAATCGTCCGCCTCCGGCGGCGAAAACCGGAGACAACAATTATTTATACCTCGAAACGGGCCCAGAATCGGATGAGGATTCTCCAACCGTTACACGAACAAGAATTTAATGCAAATATAAATTATGTTTCACCTATCGTGCGCGCGAGCACTTTAATAATCGCGCACTAATCACGTAGTTTTCACTTCGTGACGATCTTTCGCATACCGGAGAGACTAGACCTTGCGATTCATTATTTCATTCGTAAGATATAATTAAAAACAAAACTAATTAAATCTTGCGACAATAAAAAATGAGTGTCATTTTTATAATGAGTAGTTTTCAGTACGTATGAAGCGACATATTTTTTTAACATTGAGTTTTACTGAATCCCAGTTTTCATAAAGCATCATACATTTGTTAATTGCAACCGCTTACGTATATTTGTAAGTAACAGTGTGATTTGTGATATTAAAAATTATAGAAAGAAAAAACGTAAATAAGGTAAAAAAAAATGTTTTTTAATGAGAAAAAATTACGAAACAAAAATTGTGCAACACATTGGTTTCCAAAAATGACATATATGATTGATTGCAAAAGTCAATCGATCGTAAAGATCGGCTACGAAAAGCGATGTACGGAAAGGGTGACGAGAGAGAAAAAGAG